TCGCCGAGGCAGTAGAAATCGCCAAGCACCCCAGTGTTAATAGAATAGAAGGTGTGGAACTGGCAAGCATGTGGAGGACGGTTCTGGATCAGCCGAGCTGACACGTGTTGGTGTGCGGTCATCAGAAGGAAGAGTAGTCATCGCCTGAAGTCCACTTGACCTCAACCCCCTCAAACCAAACTGTCGGAGAACTCACGACCCCACAAAGACCAGAAAAAATCAACCAGTGGCAACCGAGGTGAATCATCAACTGAAGAACCCTGAAGTGGAAAATTAATGAACCAAACCCGATCAGAATTAATTTGAGCCCCCCCCCCCAATCCACCAAAGCAAGATTTTGACAACTTCACTAACCGATAAGAGCCATTAATTGACACTCAACACGGATCCAGTGTGAAAATTCGAAGAGGATTGACTTACTGATTGGTTCCCCGTCTGCCTTATAACCTGGCCAATTTGGTGACCTGCTCACTTGGCCTGATGAAGCATTTGTGTCAAAAGCGAAACGTTGCCCAAGCTCTTCTGAAACTTCAGATTTGATTTTTTTGCCTAAAGCTCTACGGTGCTTGAGAACATTTCCACATCTGAATTTGTTGATACATATGGCGGTTAGAAACGACTGGACTCGTAAACACGCTCCAGCGTTTGAAAGCTGACATACACCTCATGTGGCATCTCCGAAAATAAACGATATATCTAGAAATGGCTGAACACTCTCAAGATAAAACTATTGTGACCGCCGCTTCTGTTCAGTGCTAGTTCACTTCTTCCACTATTTGCATGTGCTAAGAACTAAACTGTGAAAACCAACGGCATTTGCTCAGTTCAGGTAAAACGCAAAATAACCTCAAGAAGGAGGAAAGTAACCAGTGTAGTGACGCAATAGGTTCTTGCAGGTGTGTACAAACAGCAAAAAAAGTTTGAGTGGTAGTTTTGGTAACCCGTTATCTAAACGGCTCATTGGAGTATCGGTCATGTGTAACTTTTCACGGGGTGGTAAACTCGTGAATGACATTGCTACAGAACACCGTCCGATGGGATCAGGACATGCAAAATCCGATGAACACGACAAGTTCATGCATTTGAAGGGTTGCACTATTGGCAGATTTGAGTTCCCTGCTGCAGCTACCACCTACCAATAACGAGGATTCCCATCATTTATGCTTTCACGCTCATCTTCAAGGGTCCGGAAGAATATTTCAACATTTGGATTTCCTCATTACAGCGAACTTCCGAAATGCAGCAACTTTGATCTGTACAAATACTAGCAAGAAAAATTGATCGGACGGTCAATAGTTAACCGTCTCATGACCGGTCCGCATCGCTGTCTCATAGCCTTCATCGCGGTATCTTAAGCTGACGAAAATCCCCAAATATCATGCGCAAAGGACTACACTTAGGGGATGTGACAGATACTAAATTCGGTCTGTTCAGTGGGTTATCCAGATTGCCATCCAATAACTTGGATACAGTGGATCATACCTGAATCTGTTTCAATATGCTGTTCAGTGGACGAAACAGCTGTTCGGTACTTGCTAGGAGGGTGTCAATGAGATCACCTATTCGAATTAAGAATGTCTGAGCCATCTCGCCCCCTCTATGACTAACGAAGAGTGTTTAATTCCGAAAACATGTAGCAGCACACTACCGTACATTTCATTTTCTTGAATGTCTACCCTCATCAGCGCGAGTCAAGCTTCGGTCTAAAGGCACGGGGTTGGAGACCAGGTCGTTAGAGTAGCCTCCCAGCAAACAACCGTACTGTAACCTTTGGAGGGTTCGTATCTAACAGCTATTTCGATCACACAGTACATATTTCAACCACTATTCCCATGTCCCCTTAAGATATAGCGTTTGTTTGGTTCGTCGTTGGTCAACCAAACGGTAATGAAGGTGCAGCATCCAGAAAACTGGCTAAAAACTGACGTTGACGTGCAGCTGGTATCTATTGTTAGGTGATTCGGGCAAGGAAATAAACGAAATTTGGTGGAACCGTGATCTGTGAAAAAGTATCTGTAGAAAACAGTTTAGTTGATAGTTGTGGAAGGCAAACGTCAGGTCAAAAGGTTAATACAATCAATCAATGGTCGAGATAATCCATCCGTGCAAACGACGATGGGCAAGTTAAACATGAGTAGACTACGAAGTACAAATCTATGAAAGTCCTTCATGTGATTAGAGGTTGTTCTTCTGAGGCAGGGAGAACGTATCGATACCGTACCTATAGAATGGGGAAAGAAGTATCGGTGGCATATAAATATATCACGCAGATACCGTCCGACGAAAGCTATGTGGGGTAGTAACGAATCATGAACGGTGGCTGGAGTGAAACAGCACGAAATCCATTCAACAAAAAGTGAATCCAAAGCATCCATCACTCAACTAGGTCAGTACCAGAATATCTGTGCTCGCCTCGTTTTAACTATTTACGAGGATGCTACATGACGTATGCTTGTTCCGCGTGATGGAGAGATCTATAAACGAGCGGAAAAAAGGCGGTAGCCAGTAGGCAGGTAGACGGCATGTGACAACAATAATTCCATTGTGTGTGTGGCGGTTACTGTGTCTGTAGTGCAGAGCGCCACCGTCTTGGATCTCAGTGCAGCCAGTGAACAAATATATTAGAATATGTTTGTAATGTAATACTCATAAGGTTGCTGAAAATTCGTCGACAGCCCACGACCAGTTTCGCCCTTTTTGGGGCCCACCAGGTAGGGGCAATCCCCGGGTTTCCGTCAACCTTATGTTTTACTTGAAACCAAATTGCACGAAATTAGCGAATATACACTCACTTGCAAACTAATTTGGTTTTCGAGAGACCTCACCTGGACCCAGCTGAATCTCTCGTTTGTGATGTTCTCAGTTGCCTGGTAAATACTGACCACAGTGATATCATGATCGTCGGAAGTAGACTACTTATACCGTATCGATGGACACACCAGTATGGCAGACTCATTCTACACAACATATCTCCACATATAGAGGCCTTCATGTGACTAACAACCGAAAGAAAAAGGTTTTTTCCTCTTTGTTATGGTTGTTAAGGCAAAGCCCAACGCTCACGGGCCAGGATGTACGAGCTTCCACACTCCGGGGTCTTTCGACACAGGAAGGTAAAATGGAGTTACAACTCACCTTCACAGGATCCAGCTGGTAGTCCCGCAACTCGTAGGTCATTGTGAGGAAGTGGCACAAAAAGGCAAACGCCATCACCCATTCGAAGGTGGTACTTAGCGCATGATAGACGTAGCGCTACAAGAAAGAACGTGGAAGGCATGGCATATAACACGGGCGGTAGTTTTGTGTAGTATGAGTGAATGGAGTGGTAAAAATGGAATAGACTGAAATTGCCGGATGCATGCATCATTGAGAGCGGTCTTCGTCAAGGAATGCATGACAGAACCAAGTGCCTAACCCAAACATGGCTAAACTGCTGTTGTGTGAACTGTGATTAGTGTAACATTAACGCTTCACGGATGTTGGGTTAGTATGTATTATGCATAACCTCCCAATCTTGGAAACGAGCTGCAGGTCACATGGAGTCTGCTATGCTTGAACCGCTTTCTTTTGGGGTAGGTAATTCGGCTGCCAGACCTGTTGTCATGTGGATGATTCCGGATTCAGACAGCAACCCTGCGCCCAACCATTGAGATTTCGTCTCATAATATGCACGCCATCAGAAGTAATTTGATGACATTCAGCTAAGGATTGGGTTCTACATCCAAAATAAGTCGAAACAACCTAGCCAGGGAGGGCAACAAAGATACTCCATGGGCTTTAAGTGACGTCTGTGAAAGTTCGTCTGGCCCAGCAGTCTGATGGTGCCTCGAGGCAGACAAGTACATTAGCACATGATAAACTCAGAGAGAAATCTAAACTCAGACCGTGGATTATGTAGAGCGAGTCGGATAGCTGAGTGGAAGTGCTAAAATCTTCGGCTCATTCGGGACTACACCGATGAGGCGTCATTACAGTTCATTTGAGTACTGTTCAGGACTCCTTTAAGCCAGAGCTGAGTAAAATGCCTGGGAAACATGGCGCTATATGTGGGGTAGCTCGTCCCTAAAGACAATGAATTTACATGCTAAGAAAAGTAAGGCGTAATAAATTCCTCCAAAAATGGTCAGGCTTAATCTAACGACCACAGAGATGGATACGGAGTGATAACACCGATGGTGGGTGTGACTGGTGCGTTTGCCGAGAACATCCAGTTGCACACTGTAGGACCTAACATAATCATCTTGACCTCTATGATCGAGCTTCAGCTTTGTATGCACGTAAATATGCAAAGGCATACATGTATTACGTATAGAAATTACGAAACATTTGTGAGTATTCGTTGTGGACAAAAGTAGGATAGGCCAAAATACAATTCAGCACTTAAAGACGAACATCAGCAGCACTCCTTGGTTGATCAAACTTTAATTGTACCTTGCCGAATTCAACGAGATCCAGAAAGTTGTGATCACTTTTGGGTGATCTAAAGAAGTCATCATACATGGAGAAGACCAGATTACCTCATCATTGGGGTCCCATTTTGCCGGCGGGAGCTTTTTTATTCCTCCACACAGACTGGCGAATAAAAACACTGCAGAAACAGTAAAAACAATGGACGGTAGCAACATTTAGAGGTACGCGATGTAACTAAGTTACTGGTGCTCTTTTAGTTGACGTGTTCGGTGTTTTAGGTTGCACGCCTGGAGATTCTGCAAACGAAATAAACGGTTCAGGCACCATGCTAGAGCAATACGAATATCAGCCACAGAATTTGCATACCTAGGCTTCAGGTACTGGTCACGTGTTCAGAATGCTACTGCTACATACCTGCGATCGGGCACATCAAAGGTGCATCATACTAGGTACAGCCCATTTTGAAAAAGATACACACACAGATACACCGTCCTTGTTCGTGGACTCAATAAAACAGTACATCATCATCATCGACAGCATGACATCAGTGTTCAACACCGATGCTTCACAGCCGTAATAAAACAGTACACTGATGCTACAGCTGACTGTTACGTGTTAGCGATTGCGTTCGTTTCGTTTTGTCAAGGCGCCTCCTTCCGGATGGGAAAGTGAGGGGACAGATATATTTTGAAAACGATCAAGATATGAAAATTCTGAGAACAGGCAATTCATAAAACTGTCTTTTACTAACGCAGCGCTGTGGTTATTCACCCGTCTGAGTAATCAGGGTCTCATTGACGCAATAAAGGTATCAACCTTGCTTGAACCTGGCATTCCGGGAACATTAGATTAGGTCAATGTCCACAGACCAATACTCAGTCAACTAGTATGTTTGCGCATAGTGTTTGTGAGTTGTCCGTGAGGTGCTTTTTCAGATTTAGTATAAGCTATTATACACGCATAGATAGCATTCGGTTAGTCCACAAGGTATATGGAAAGGTGGATGCATTCATCGAATACTTACTGAGCTATGTAGTACAGTTTTACGAGGAAATTAAACCAATCAGATTTAAATACTGGCCTATAACGAACGGGGAAAATACCCCTTAGCCTGTGAAGTCTTGCCCATAAGTGCAAATTGATGAGACCTCCTAAACACTACCTACACGACTAACTAATTTGAAGGAACCAATGCCCCTGACAAACTTGAAGAACGCATGAAGCATTGCACGATATTCCAGATACACTTAGCGGCATCCCTTACATCGAAAAAGGTTGCTGCTCAGTAAATGAGTCCCAAACGGGGGCCAACGATACGATTTGGCGAACAGTGGTGAAGGTGCTCCGACAGCTAAATTTCGAAGTCGGATGTAGGTATAGTAGGACTAAGATGCGCGTTCGATAGCAGATAAAAACAGACTCTCTGCCAGCTTACTGCTGTCTTTCGTTTCGAATTGCAGGCATAAAACGCCTTGGTTTTGGGAGCTGAATGCACCCGATTAACTGTAAAACATTGGGTGCTGTTTGCCTATGAAAGCCTATTCAACATTCAGTTTCAGGCGACGACATACAGAGCTGAGGTCTTCTGTTTCATATCCAGATGTGGAGACCGTCAAGGTGCTGTCACAACACACGATATAGTATATCAGAGTGTTCATTTTCGGACCGGCGGATCTCGCTAGCGGTAAGAATGCCTGCTTTAAGGGTCTCTGAGACAATTTCGCCGACTCGTCAACAACAACATACTTGAAAATTGAAACTGGTACTTTCAGCACAAATCAGTACTGGGCGCTCCAGTTTAGTGGGGAGTATTTCAGTTTTGATACCGTTGGGTTCAGTGTAGGTTCCGTTTGGCCCGCTCAGTGGGACGCTTGTGAACAAACGTTTCATCCTAAAGTTGCCAAATATTTGTTGTGAATGTCAACATTATGAAACATACCTGACAACATAACGTTGCTTGTTATTCATCATCAACCGCACCTGATAGACCAGTAGGTCTGTTTACCTGCATACTTTTAACTAGATTCGAATCCCGCCAGTGAAAGTGACTCTATCACCATCCGCCAAATATCATACTGTTTAGGTGCTCATGTATTCATGGCTATCTACCTCGGCAGAACATACAGATAGGATCAACTAAGAATAGCGAAATATGTTCTAGCCTAACACACCTACCCATAGTAGAAAGGGGAGGTTAAAGAAAAACCTGCATCCAAGCTCTTCCATCGCACGCTTTGTTAGGAAACCATCAAGTGTGAACAACAACGTCGCCTTTGAGACTGTACTTTGATAAACCAAAAAAGGTTCACTCTACTTCGATGAACCGGTCAACACAGTGAAACAGAAACTGTAATAGTGCGGACAAAAGGGATTTGTCGTGTTGTCCGCCCACTTTTGGCGGCGCGACAACTCATTCGCGCAATAAACTAAATTTGCATTTATTTTATTCACTACACTACCTGGTGAAATGCAGTAGACTGTATCCGGAATGCCGGCACAACTGCAATGCATCGTACTCCAGTATGAGTTGCTACTATGTAAACTCTATGGTGAGATACATAGATAAGGATATAACCATTCGTTTCATCGTTTGCTAAACAGGCGTGCATAAAATACAAGAATGAGACGAAACAGGTGTGAGAGAAATCATTCACTAATCCGAATGAAAAACATTCAAGAACATAAACACCCCCTTCGATTAAACTAGATTTTCGTCCAATTCACCGGATTATCTGTGATATCGAGAGAGGATTGGCTTGACGTGCGCGACTTATTTGCTCGTCCATCAGAACTCCTTGACCCAGCACCCGACTACCACCTCAGGCTCCTTGCAACCGTGTGGAGCAACGCTTCAAATGAAGGACAAACACAGGTAGGATTTTCAAATCTGGACTGATGAGATGTGCTCTAGTGTACGAAGATAAATCCAGGTAAGTAAGCAGAGAAGGGTGTGGGTTCGGATGAAGAATTAATCGTCAGAATGGAGAAAGGACCAATCGTTTACAGACCAATCTGTACAAAGGGAACCTGCTACCAAGGAAGATGCCATTGCAAGTGCAAAGCATCAAGGTAAACACCCAAACAAAATACTGGTTTTCGTACTCAATCGCCGTGGAACTCCGTGGCATCAACTATTTCTCCTACGGGAGTTAAGCAAGCGACTAATGGGCCATGGACCACGTCCCCAGGTACGATAGTTCCGGTTTACGTGGGAATCAGTCGAGAGCAAGCATATCCTCGTTTGATGCAGCCTGTCATTAAATTTCGGTTCCTTATTGCGTATAGAAAACCGTTGAATCCGAAGCACACGCCTCAAAAAAAACAATGATCGTATCGTAACAGGTTTCATAAACGAGAAAAACGCAGTAAACAGGGATGAAATATGTCGTCAGCAATTACAAAGGAGAATAAAGACACAGCGAAAAAACTCACTTGCGACAAGCGATACCAAACAGATAAATGCCAAAATCGTACGCAAAACCCACAGCCACTGTGGTGAGTGCAGATGCTTCCGGCTAGCATGACTGCACAAAATGATGTAAAGCGTACCGAAACCGAACGTCATAAGCGCACCAATCAGATGCACTACAAGAAGAGAAGTTTCCTACAAAGGGCAACGAAAAAAGAAGTTTGCCTTGGTAATAAAAGTATGGCGCCGGCAGCGACAGTGAGAATGTATTGGAATGCAAGGTGAGTGAATAGGTTTCGGGACATCTTCGAACGGACATCCGTACAATATGAAATTACCTGAAAGTTTCCCACTATGGATAAACCGACAGCTCCAGCCAAACCGAAACCAAGACTAACATATGCATGTAAGATGTGAGATCTCGGGTTTCCAAGATTTTCGAGTCGATCCATCTGATGGCCATACCAGCAGTATATGGACAAGCAACCTGAAGAGGAGAAAATTAGACTAGGGTGAATACAGGAACCCATCGGTAGTAGAGGTCTATACAGAATTCTAGGAACTCGCGGTGACACTCTTTTGCGTCAGATAGATCTTAAATACTGACCCAACTACATATAGAGCCGAGGTGAATACGGATACCATGATCGTGACTTCTCGGTTGCAGAAAGGTCGTCCCACCGATTGAACTACCGAGAAGACCGACCTTTCCCTAACGCATTGACTTGAACTTCATACTGATTCGTCACATCTTCACCCATAGTACATGCTTCTCTCCGACATAATGAATCAGGACTTTCTGATGTCCATGTTTATGGTGGCAGTATGAGAGTTTTCCCACGGCGATTTCATTCTAAAAAACGAAATCAATCCACGCTGAAGAGCCGGAGAGCACCATTCAGCTGTTTCATCCTCATTGGGGATCACGAAGCTCCACCTGGATCCGAACTCGCGGTTTACGGCTAAACTAGGCCGTTCGGCGAGGAATGACTGTTTAGCAATGTGATTAACGCGAACGTAGACAGAAGGAAATGTCATTCGTTCTTCAATCATGGAGTTGACATCACGTGGTCACGTACTGACTGACTACCCGAGTGACAACTTCTCAGACAGAAGCTCACTCGTCGTGTGAATTGTTCTCCATCGTGAACCACCCACGGTTTGCTGGCATCTGCTATGATAGTTGTCACAAGGGGATTCGTCGCTTCTTTAGTGGAGGGTTTTCTGGCCGACCCGCTAGTAGCATTGAGGTCGCAGATTTGTATATCCCTGAAGATTGGTGAGATGCGGACTGCTGATGATCCCCAGTAAGGATAAAGCCAGGCTCTAACGATCAAACAGCGAAAGTGAGTAATTGACTGAGCGGTGACATTACCGCTGCGCGTGACTTGCTGCAAGATCGGCTTTCCCTTCGTTACCAGTTATTCTCTGAAGAAACATTAACTTATGAAAAAGTTTCTTCGAAATCCATCATTCACCAAGGAGATCGTAGGCATCGTTGAAACTGCTCGGAGGTCGAACCCTAGCGTGATTCTCCTCAGATCTTGAAAACACTGTTGAGGCTTCCATTATTGACATTAGCTGACTAATAACAACCAGCACACAAATAAACGGATGGTACCATGAACATAAGGAGGGTGGCCATGCATGTGTTCTCCAAACAGACAACATTACAAAAATAGGAACAGCAGGAAGCGTTGCCTTCTATATGCTTGTTAGACGACGTAACCAAGTACGAGCAAAGAATGTGGAGCAGAGCCGTTTTTTGTTGGAGTTTACACAAATCGAGCCGCCGGTATGATTTACGGCGACGAATCCGGGATCACAGGTGGTCCCATGTGACCTACCACGCCTTGCTGAGACTGTGGTTCATGAATGAGACAAAAGGCACACTCTACGGTGGAACGTCACAAAAGTTGTTGCCTTGAAAAGGCCTCATTTTCAGTCTAAGCGTTCGGTTTCACGATATGTCTGTTGGTACACATGTCTTGTTTTTCTCTGGAACTGGATACGACAACTGGCCAAACTTTGAACTAGTCGAGAATCACTCTCACACAGCGTCACCGTTAGTAAAAAGCAAGGATGGTGTTGTGATGATGTGCGGTCAAAGAGCAAGGTGTTTAAATGAGGGGTTCTGTTTTTGATAGAATCCACACAAAACAGTCACTTCTAAGGATACCACGCACAGGTGGCGACACTACAATTTCGCCATGGGAAGAGCTAACACCTAAATTTTTTAGTGAAGTATTCGAATTAAAAACTAGAATGTTCATATACATACCGGAAAGAGTAGGTATGAAAATCGGACAAAGTCCCGCAGGCATTTGAGAGCCCGGTCAAAGTGCCGGCTGCGAGAGTTTCACCCCTTGTTGGGGTTTCTGGATGTTCACCCGAAGACATTGAGTATCACCCCTTGTGGGGTTTCTGGATGTTCACCTGAAGACATTGAGTATTGCTTTCTATTTCAAACAACCTAAATAATTCTGCTACACGGTTTTTTTGTATTTTACCCGTAAAGTGTAAGGTGATGCTGGATTCAAACCCAGTCCTCATGCTTGAAGACGGACCGACTGATATGGTAGATAAATTTGTCCACCTGGACAGTTGTATCGCTTCTGGTGGATTGACTGGAGACGAGATTACTTGTCGAATCGGGAATGCCAGAGTAGATTTTTCCAGCCTCCTGTGGCGCCAGCATGATGTCAGTTTGTCTGTTAAGAGCAAGGTAGACACTGAAGCAGTGTGATCCATACTGATTTGTGGATAAAATACATATTCTCCACGTGCAGGAGACATGAAAAAGTATCAGTATTTGACCATCGGTGTCTCTGAAGCACTGATCGGCTCGGGTGGGAACATTGGAGTAGCAATGCTAAGGTACACTAGATGGGTTAGTTATACTCTTTTCATTGGTTACGCTGTTTGAGACGGTACTTCGCATGTCAGATGATTATCTCTTAATATACCCCAGGCAGTGTGCTGAGTGGAAACAATCGAGAGGTGGATAGTTTATGGCTCGGTAACGAAGTATTAAGGCAGTAACCAGTAAAGTTAGTCAGGAGAACAATTGTCACCTCCCTGGCTTGGCGAAGTGCTGCTTATGCCAGTTGACCGACTTCCTCGAAGGGTTCTTTTCGCATAACCACTTGAAAGAGGAGACGAGCGAGAGATCAAACAATGACTTGGCAGCAAAGTATAAAAGCCGTTACCAGCAAACTCAGCTGCGGTGGTCATTGATGTCTTCCTGGATGGGGACTCAGGTTAATGACACTGACAGACACGGCTCAATCAAGCGATCAATAGCCTTCCTTCATCAAAACTAGCGCGTCCAATGCGTAGCTGCCCACTTCAAAACATACTGCTTATACCACCACAACTTTGCTACGTCCCCAAGGCACTTCTATTGTTCGGCGACCGAGTAGAAACCGTAACCAACGTAACCTTAGTATATGGTTTATATCCGGTGAACTGAATTAATTACGTTAGCAGCCCAAACAAAACGGCTAGACAGATGATCACCCGATTGAAACACCTAAGAACAAAAGAGAAAAGAATTTGACAACTCGAAAAATGCATGATATAATCCATCATAATCTGTTAACAGCTGAAGAAAAAGTCACAAACTCCTTAAGCCAGAGTCCTGAAGCTGTTTCGTCGCTAGGAGATGGAGGATAGATATATCGAGCAGAAGTAATGGCAAACTAGTCTACATACGTGTGACAATGAACTCACCTAAAAATGCGCACAAATTCAGAAACTGTCCAAAAACACAGCTCTCGGGAGCAAGCGCGCCCGTGTCACTGAAACGCAACGTAGGTTTGAAGCAGTCAAAAACAGGACCGGATAACACGTGACAAAATTTGGAAAGGGGCGGAAGATAAAGTGGTCATGTGGTCACTTATGAGGTTCATTAAATTCAAAAGTCGAGGAAAACAAGAGGACCGAAGTTCCGCGGGGTCACTTGGGGTAAAAACGGAGCGAAGCTGAATGTAACTCATGAGCTGGGACGCTTAAATGGCATGAGAGGCGTACCGAATTCCACTGCTGAGTTGTCGCGGGGGATTGTTAGGTTTTATACTGGCCTCCTAGCGGATGAATGGTGTATGTCCCGTTAACTCTCGGGCGACTAGACCGTCAGAAACACATGTATTTTTAAAACCGCATAGAAGGGTTCAGAAAAGTTCACCATGACTATAAAACATGTGGTGTCGGGTTTCTTGCGATAATGCATCCATCCGCTATTACCCAGTCATACTCCTTGGAGTCGTAGATAAATATGGCGCTATCAGTGGTGCTCCTCTGCACTGGGTTATAGCCACAGAGCAATAGACTTCATGACGACAAATGCAAACGCCTAACATATTCAACTAAAAAGGGACGGCGGCTGGTTAGTAAACAAGAAAGTCACAATCAAGTGCACAAGGACAACTACCATCCTGCACAGCAAGCCAACGTGTCTTTTTGGATTCGTAGTCTAGTCACGATTCTAACCCAACACACTACAAGTAATATAAACTAGGAGCGAACTGACTAATTCTTCTAGTAAGAATCGGCGATCAAACTGATGCAAAATGCCTAGTTGTTGTTACATTAAGGATAACATCAAGCTGATTGTGGTGACGCTATGCAACTACTTTGGAGTGTAACTCCATCCAATTATGCCAGCAGCAAGCACCGTTAGATGGGCTGGGAACAAGCCATAAGATCCGAAAAGTATGGTCAAACCGGTTGGGTACTCAGACTTCTGGAACATCAGCCTGTCAATCAACACAACTAGTAGGCGCCATTAAGTTACACGAGATTATTCCACATATTTTAGCAGGTGCCATCAGCCACCTGATCGATCAGTCACATTAGTCATCACTTGAGTGAGGAAGTCAATGCGCTTTTAGCACGAAGCTGCAATGACCTAAACACTACTATTAATGTAATGGTGTTCCTAGACTGCGTTCTGCTTCGTCTAGTGGTCGACCAATTCGTCTGCAAACAGTCGGCCGAATTTAGTGAACAGTAAAATGAGAAAATCGGTTATTGAGGATCTGATGAGTATTGCTCACAGTGTGGCGCGACCACCTGTGGTTGTGAGAACAATGATCACTGTACTGTTTCGACTAAGTTTCCTATACTACAAAGTGGCGTAATAAAACTATCGCATTTTCCCAAAATCCGGTGGTGAGTGCAACAACAGTCCTCGAATAGACCTCCTTGTCTCCATCATGAATTCCAAGCATTACAGATGAAGACCCATATATTCGTAAAGTTAGCGTGGCTTTCCAAAGATTCCATACACTGCAGAGGTCGATAGTACACGACAAGTAAAAGATCCTAGGTCAAGTGGATCACACTTTGGATAAATAGCAGCCGTTCGAGTCCACTTACTCATTAAGCCATCTTCAGGCATCCCACCGTCCACACGCTTTCTACAATGAGGTGACGAAGACCGTAAGTCTCTTGTGTATGAGCCAGCTCTTCATCCCAAAACTCTCGTGAAAGTGGAATCATAATGGCCAAAACAATCGTAACCTGATAGGCGACCTATATCTGGAGATCCGAACTAACAATCCATGGTTGTGACAACCTGCACTGGTGTACTGGCAGTCACCCAACTTCCTTCCAATCAGTAAACACACTAATGATCGGGGAACCAGCATGAGGGACTCACTACTAGCGAAATTCACTCATTTGCATACCAATTTGGTTTTGATTGGAGAATAGCCTGGAGACAAGCTGAATCTCTCGTTTATGATATTTATTATTACGTCCATACAAGTAATCACTATATTTGAGTGGAAGCATAGTTACTGTACATCCGTCTATATCAGCATTTATTTCTGGTATATTGCTGTCTACAATGATGGGAACGGCACCTGTGAACAGTTTACAACATGGACAGGTCAGGGCTATATTTGAAAAAAAAATCGAAATACTTGTAGCGAAAAAGATGCCTACCTGATGTATGGAAACAGGGCAGACACGTCACCCAATGCGGTAGACATGGCGTAACTGAAAACGAACGCGAACAAGAAAGGTGAATGAAAAATCCGAATGACTATAGTGGTCAGCATAGGTTTAACTGTCTAATAAGTGATATAGTAATCAGCAATGAAATGCCTACAAGGTTGTACCGAGGGAAAAGCACTAAACTGTATGAGGGAAACACCTGAAAGTACTGAACCTTGAAGTACCATAAGGTATTCTTCGCCAGACTGCGCCTGTCTAAGGCCAGGTACAAAAACATGCCAGGAAACATCCTCATATACGACGTGATTGAAAAAAAGGAACGAAATTTCACAAAGAGCCGTCATATACTGGGTGATTTATTCACTTGTACGTGAAAGGTTGTGACGAAGATGGGTAGGCTTGAAATACGTGCGCGCGTACGTGAATAGCATTTCTAGTACGAAGGTAACCTATAGTGGTTTTCCATACAACAAGTGGTGTCTTACTCTTCGATGAAAGATGAACCAGAAGGTGGCCCAATGGTGTTAAAATATACAACGGACAGAAAGCGGACAACACAAACAAAGATGAGGCACATACGGTTTCATAATACACCACAACTCGTTGGGAAGACCTAAATAAGCATGCCATAGGTAGGAGACGCACCTACTTCATTGGTGGACACATTAAGATAGGTTGCAGCTTCCAATGGGGTTTTGAACCGACCTCCTGTACTGTAACTAGTCTCTTTGCTGAAAGCTTGCCATGATCTGGTCACGCTAAAGATGATGCACCTTTATCCCAAGGTATTTAGGGGACACCAACGCGTTCTGCTCGTTTGCTACGCAGCCACATGTCCGTGTTGAAAGTTACAAGTTCAGTAGATTTTGGGCTGATCAGATAAAATATAGGCCCTTCGCGTTTGTATGGGTTGGTTTGTACATGTATGAGACATAAGGATTAGGTAATAATGGGCTTAAACATTGACTGCTCCCAATCCCATTTCTTATGGTGTCAGTCAGCTTAAATAGATATCGGATTAAAAGCGCTTCACCGAGTAGAATAATACGACTCTTCAATATTTTGGAAATTCGCTAGGACTAAAGTGCCTTTCCTCCACCGGCACGAGGTTACGATTTACTAATACTCCGTTTTAACTAGATCCAATAAGCACCAGACTGCCACGGTGAGATCAAAGAACCTATAGGTCATACGCCTCAAAGACGGAGTGGCCTGCATGATAGCCAAGGAGGGAACTGCATCAGACAAGGTAACACTGAGTTTTATCCCCTCAATTTTCGCGCTCTCGGATCCCCATTAAAGGAACGCGCCACTCAGAAGAGACCTTTGTCGGTCAATCTTTTCAGAGAAAACTACACAGAACAGAAAGGACGAGTTAAAGAGTCACATGCACAGTGAAGCCACAAAAACTTACGAGACAATGAAAGTGATGATTACTGTCGAACAGAAAACGATTGGTAAGTAGTGTAGTGGGAAGGAATGCATGCTAATCGATTTGTGATCCAATCTTCGGAAACGTTATTCTGGTTGAGAACAGCGAACGAGATTCCCCCGACAATTGGATAAAGATATTCTGGGTAGTACACGGAACCTACGAGTATGAAGAAAGGATTGGAGACCTAGGTTAAAAACACACTTGGTTGCATTATTTTAGAAAGGCACTTGGATGGACAGTCATGAGGGCTAACACAATCAGTTAAGAGTGCATATTTTGTGAAAACTTGGAGGGAGTAGCGACTAATGAATCAGAGCGTCTTGCGTCCGAAAATGAAGAAAGTAGCAAGCTGCTAGCTGCCTTGTGAAGACAAGTATACCAACACACTGAACATACCACTCTGCACTGGTGAGGTCACTTCGAGTTGTGAGGAAACGCTTACAACAAAATTGTCAGAGAACTATTCAACCATCAATCTTGTGAACTTGGGCCTAGCTCATTTCTTCCTTGTTATCCGGGGTGCACGGCATCTGTGCATAAAAAAAGAGTCGAGTTCGGGAATGACACAAGCTCCAGGTAAAAGTAACCGTTGTTAGAGTCTATCCCTGGGCTTCAGTTGCTCCAGTTTGGCCCTGAGTAACTTCCTCGTGTCCTCTTTAGCAGCTTTTCATTGAGAGAGTACAACAGAAAACGGTCTTAAAAATGCAGTCGAACTGAAACCACCAGCTATGATGATTTCACGAGAAATCGAGCAGATTTGGTATAGTTTTGGGAAAGTAAGTCAGGATAACCTACCCAAGTAGAAACAAAGCGAAAGGACAGGACCTAGTCCTATTAGGTAGCATTATCCTGCCGACCCACGAAATGCTTTGTAGCATTGGGGTTTTCATAAGTACTATCCACATTTATTTGGTCTGTATAAACCAATTGGAGTGGGTGGGCTATAATGTCATGGTTGTGCTATATCGATCAGGATCATTAACCACTACGTTGTATCGTCCCGTTGTCCTCACTCGAGAGTTAAACAGGCACTGGCTGATGAAGGTGGATCAGGAGCACGATGACGTTTGAGGAGAGATACACACTCAGACACTTCTTAGAAGGAAGGGGGCTTCATATTTACATTCTACGTTTTCTTTAAAAGCTGACGGTTCAGGCAGGGGGTGGCAGGTATCCAAGGGAATTGTTGTTCGAAGTATTGTGCCAACGGTCCAAACGTTTTACCTTGCTGGATATCAAATAAATATTGTAATCCTTGATGATTTCGTTGAGGCACTGTGCCTATCTACCTTGAGCTTTCTGCTCGTTGAAAAAGAATAACTATAGTGTCACAGAAAACAGTCGGTCGGGGCGTATGTAAACGAAAATGGAACAAAGTACGACAACTTCCAAAAATTCCTTTACAGGCCTTGTCAAACGAACCTCATAGAAGCGACTATCAACAGGTAGCCAATCAAGCAGGGACGCTTCCCCTCCAGTGCTCACCACAGTACCCAGCTGCAGCGGCTTCCGCATAACCAGAGGTGCGCAGTCAGATGCTGGAAGTGAGCGAGGGAGCAGTCAGTTCAATTACGGTACTTGTGTCCCGGATCCTTGGTTCTGATAGACATCATGCTTCAATGAAGAGAGGATTCAGCGTACGAGCAAGAGTCGCAAGTCTTCCTGTTGGATTCAGTGTGAATACGCTAAAGACAGTTAAGCAGAACGGCTTTCATGGTTTGCCAATAGACTTCTGGGTGTTTAGGGCTGTTAGTGAAGTCGGACGCACAGAAGCTGCAACTCGGTGGGATAAGAAGTGAGCAAAGCGGTCAGTCCTAGTGATGAGAACTACCGAGAGGAAATTCAAATTAGAATGGAATAGGATAGAAGAGGCAATAAACGAGTGTAAGAAGGGAGACGTTCACCTATCTTACACGTGAGCTGTTCGTAGGTTGTGGACCGAAAGGCATGGGAAAAGCCTGATTTTTTCAAGCTGTGGCATTCGCTATCCACACTCCACAAACGCGGAGTGTGTTGCATTTATACGTAGATCAAAATGCGTTGACTCAACGGCTGGCGATATTGAACGTTTTTTCCAAAAAGTTCGGCGCTTCGAATTTTGAATCACGGATCAGAATTCTTCGGGTTAACAGTTTCCTCGTGTTCGTTGGCCTGAGACTAAGTAGGCAATTATCATCCGTGAATTGCATGTCCGACATGGTTGATATATCGGCTTGTGCTTAATGCTACATAGCACCCTGATGAGTTGGTGAATGTCGCTGTTGACCAAATCGCTGACACGTTCCATGTTGTTTTGTTTAATGCAATGTGTTTCGCATACTCACAACCGAACTATGAAAAATAGAGATCAATTGGTCATTTCGCCTTTGTGTTCACACACCCATTCCAGCTGTTACGCAGGCCAGCTTGTCAGTTTTTCTCGTTACAGACACCCAACAGTGGCGTTACACTTACAAATCCAAAGATCAAGGGCTCTAATCCGATCAAAGTGTTTGAGATCCCTCAATCCAACAAACCTGGGCATCTGCAATAACCACCAACACCGTACACACACTATTCAAGACTGACATAGTGTGCTATTCAAGGGAGATTTGGATGATTAGTTCTCCGTGTTTCTAAAAACTCTAGTGATTTTCTGTGTCAAGGACGTAGCTGCCAATTTACAAAATACCGATTGTTTTCGAAACCTTTCTGAAAAGATAACTTATCAATCAGGTTCAAACTTTTGGTAACTGGCTGAAAATTGTAATAGGCCTCCTGTCTTGCTCGAGGTGGCACTTTGGACAGAACAGTATGTACTGAGCAAAGAGATCAAGAGTCTCCAAGGTCGTTGAACACAGTTGAATGTTTGGTCTATAGTGTCCAGGGATCCCTGGCCCCTAGCTTCGTGTGGCAGTTTAAAAGCACGAAGCCTGTTCAGCTATACTGGGTGGAAGGTGCCCAGGGGGGATTCCACGGGGCCTCATAACAGGCTAGTCAGCAGGCAGGTAGATAACAACTTCTCGGCCCTCCAAAATCTGAACTAGCATAGTAATTGTTTCACAGTCCGACATTTGACCTAAAGACTTCGAGATAGGACCCAAACAACCCTCATATTTAGGTTCTGAACCACTGCAGCGTCTCGGCTTACGTGCAGCTACGAAGACGCAACGATGAAAAATCCCATGATGTTTGATCATCGGTGTCTCCGCAGCATTGGTGAGGTCTGGTGGGAACATCGAATGCCGAGGTACACCAGACGGTCTTAGGAAAAAGCAACCTGCCCGCGATAGATGGATTACTCACGCTCCATAGGTTGCGCTGGTTGGGACATGTATTCCGCATACCAGAAGACCGTCTGGCTCACAGAACTTTTTTCTCCCAGCCCTGTGTTGAGTGAAAGCGACCAAAAGGTGGATAATGTATGACCTGGCAAAGAAGCACTAACCAGTGAACTTGGTCGGGTGGGCAACTGCCCTCCTGATGGATGGGGACTCCATGACTCAAATCACCAGTGGTCATTGACATTGGCAAAGTCTCACAGTCAGTGGCCTCGTGCATCAAAGCCATCGTCTTCAATGCGTAGCTATGCAATTTCCGAACAAAGTGAACCTGCCTTCGCCTCCAAGGCTTGGTTGTATGTTCCACGATTGTCGAACACATCGTTGTCTCAGAACCATAGTTCGTGTGGGCTGGCGTCCGCGAATCCGTAATGAGGCAGTCAGAAATCGCGTTTTCGGCTGTGCAACGCGTAATTCCGTTGAGGAATGTGTCCACCATCAGAAGCTGCGTTGGTTGGGACATGTGTTGCGTATGCCGAACCATCGTTTGCCGACGAGAGGGCTGTTTTCCATGCTCAATTCAGAGTGGCGTAAACAGAGAGCTGGCCAACCCTTGACTTGGCAGAGGAGTATGAAGATCACGAAACGCTTGGGTGCTGTCGGTGCTACTCACCTTCCAGGATGATGACCGTGTGATTCTCACTGTGCCCGGTTAAAGATACTGCAAGATATGGCTGCCAACCGACGTCAGGGGCGTTTTTGTTGTCAGTTTCTACCACATCGCCTGAGTGAATGTCTGGAGGTATCATCATCATCATCATCATTGTCAGCTGTGATAACCGCGTATTCGTCGTACAGTGTAGCTGCCTCAGTTTCGTTCACCGATGATTTGGGGGGAGGGGGAGGTAGCTGCGCATTGCAGGCAGATGACAAATTGGTGCATAAATCCAGTACTGTCAGTGGGCTGGCAAATGGTGGGGGGTTGGAAAAGGAAAAAAATAAATCGTTCAGCTGTAGCACGCTTTCGGTGCCTAACTGCCATGCCACCCAAAAGGAAGCACGAGGGCTGGGATACTGCCAGGTTGCCCAAGCCTAGACAGGGGAAGTC